AATATATATATATATATATATATATATATTTTCTTTATAATAAAATATGTAGGATACACAATAATAAATACTAATAATAAAGTAAAAGTTGTTGCTGCCAGCCGGTTGCCTTCCTGTGGTCGGTGTTTCTGAATTCAAGATGGTCCCACGCCACCCAAATTGCATACTGACAAACATGCGGTGACTGGACTCCATTATTGGAGGGAGGAAAGCTCCTGTTTCGTCATGTAAATTGATCATTCAAAAATATAAATAAATCCATGTTAAAATTTTAAGCTGTTGTTTCGGCATGTAAATTGATCATTCAAAAAATAAATAAATCCATGTTAAAATTTTAAGCTCCTGTTTCGGCATGTAAATTGATCATTCAAAAATATAAATAAATCCATGTTAAAATTTTAAGCTCCTGTTTCGGCATGTATATTGATCATTTAAAAATATAAATAAATCCATGTTAAAATTTTAATAGAATAACTTGATCACTGTACTCTTACATCACAAAATAACTCAAAAGTAACATTACTATTTGATGTTTTAAGAAATCTATTTTACATTTAAAAGAGCTTGAAAATTATTATTAAGATCATAATTTCATAATGTTAAACTAGCTTTTCTTTTTTATCCAAAAATCAGTATGAGAGAAAACGAGATGCTCCCTACAGAAAGAAGACATACTGAAAGATTTTAATTCATAACTGGAAGGATTTGGTTTAATAATGTAGTATACTCACTTGTGAGTATATTTTGTTTATTTGTAAGCATTATATTTGTACTTGATAAAGAGAAATGTATTTTCACTGGAATATAATTTGTCAATGTTTGTTGTTGTTGTTCAGATATACCTCCAATGGAGGGCTGTTGTATACTGCCTGTGATGGTGGAATTGTTAGAAGGTATGAACATTTCTTTTACTAAACACTATTGCAGAACATGTTGACCTTACTTTGTAAATATTAGTTTTTATCTTCTTTCAGTACTGTAAGAAATTATCTAACACTTCTGTTGTTATAGAGCTTATTCTCATAATGTAATACTGTTAATTTTTCTATGTTTTATTTTTATTATGTACTATAATAATATCATTTTAGCTAATTTTCAATTGAATTGTATATTTGACAACCAGTGAGCCTAATAACTAAGTAGTGACCAATTATTATATATATATATTTTTCCACGAAAGGTACCGTCGCTATCCTACACATCATCAGTATCTGGGAGAAGTTTATTCACATAAAGGTGACATACAAGATATGGATATATCTCCGTATGATGAATGTATCCTTTGTGTTACCTATCCTGTTTTTCTCAGTTTCTGTCAATTTTCAAATTATTTGGAAATTGTCTAACAATGTTATAATAAAAATTTGTAATTAAAACCTTTACTCTGTTATTAATGTTTTAAGTTTATAAACTTTTTTTCTTTTGGAAACATAGTTTAATTATGAGGTCAATTCTGTTTAGTGTAATTTTTGTTCTATCAATTTAAATACTAGTTTTTTGATATGAGGTATAGACGTTGCTCTATAGTTGCTGGATTTTTATCTCTATTGCTGAATACAGCTAACTTTATATTGAGAATTAATACATGTAATTAATCATTAAAGATGCCAAAAACAAATTATATCAAAAATGATGAGCTTTTTTTTAGCATAGTTCCAATCTTAAAATGCAAAGATTTTATCATTGTAGTTACTCCTTGAAGCATGATTTTCCTTTGTAGTTGATTTACTTACAGTTTTGTTTTTTGGAGACTTTCATAGGTTTCTTGGGTTTCCATATGTAACTGTCCCCTGGTTGCTTGTTGATAAACTTGAAATCTTATAATAGCTTGAAGTCTACTATTTGGGATTTAATTCTTCAGCAAACACAGCACAAATAGCCCAATGTGCAGCTTTTTGCTTAACAGCCAGCAAATCCTATGTAATTCTATACTTGTTTTGTTATAGTATGAATACATTATAATGTATGGTTCTTGTATTGTTAAACCTAATATGAAAACTAAAATTTGTGAAATAGAAATTATAAGCTATTAAATGACCTCTCTGTTTTTTTTCTGTTTATTATGTCCTTTAAAATATTTTTGTTTAAAAGCTGGTGTGAATGCAGAAAAAACTTTCTATTTGGTATTTTAAAAATCAGCCTAACTAATTTAACAATATTAATACTTTGTTAAAGTTTGTGTGTTTTATTTTCTAATAACAAAAATAGGTTTTTTTATGAAACACTACCTATTTAAAAGTTGCAAATTAAAAAAAAAGAACTTTAAATGGTTTATTTTTATACTTCTTGGAGAGTTTTTATTTTGCTTTTGGCTATCTTATCCTCAAGATGTTGAGTTTTAATTTTTCTTGAATTGTAATCAGTGATATTTTAGTCAACCAAAACCCAATATGTAGAATAAGAATTGTCACACACTCATCTAGTTAGTAAGTAAAATTTTACAGGTTAGATTTTTGCTATACTGTGTAACAGCAACAACTACATTGTTGTTATTTGATGGAATAATTTAAGAAAATAATCTAAAATGATTCTTTCTTAATACCTTTATATTTCAACCTTTTGAAACTGATAAGTGATCATCCTTTTTTCATTTCTATTTTCATTATAACTGCTTTGTCTACTCAAAGTTAAATTATAGAAATTTTGCATCTTGATCTTCTTTGACTACTGTACAGATCTTATAACAGCATCAAGAGACAGATCAGTGGGGATTCTAAGACTGGGCTCACCAAACCATGGCTGGACAGAGTATTGTGAACTCACCTGATGCTTAGTTATCTATAACTGTATAATAGGAATGTTTTCACTATGCAATTTCTGGTTGTGGTGTCAGCAACCACAAAACTTGTTTCAGTGTACCTCAGACTAAAAGGGCTGTACTGTGCTGCAGCAATACATTCTTAAGTTATGAAAGGTCAGAGGAGTGACACTGTTCATTAGTTATTCAGAGAACTGGGACAGCTGTTGTATTGTAGTACTATATGGCAGCATGATCAAGGATGATGAATCATCTGGTAATAATATGACATTATGCACAGATTGTGTATAGTGATCTGTTGAAGACAAAACCATCCTTTTGTAGTCCATTATTGTGTCCACCCACAAACAAGATTATACAGATAACAGTATAATAATTCATATTCTATCCACCAAGCAGAGAAGGTGGCACATGTTAAAGAAATATTTCATTGTGACAAAGAACAGAATGAGTGACACAGATTGTTAAGTAATAATGGCTTGTGATTTAGTCACCCAGAAGAGGAGCTGGCACAGGTTACAGTAATAATTCATTGTGGCAACCAAAAGAATGTATGACACAGATCTGAGTAGTAATGGCCAATTGTTGAGTCACCCACAAGAGGAACTTGTGCACGTTTCAGTGATAGACTATTGTGGTAACCAACAGAATGAATGACAGATTGAGTAGTAATGGCCAGTTGTTGAGTCGCCCAGAAGAGAGAGAAGAGGAGCTGGCACAGGTTTTAGTGGCAGCTTATTGTGGTAAACAACAGTATGAATGATACAGATTGTTAAGTAGTAATGGCCAGTGGTTGAGGAAACCAGAAGAGGAGCTGGCACAAGTTACAGTATTGAGAGTACATTGTTATGTCATCTAAGGAAAGCAGCCTTCCTGTTGTTGCCTTTATGGTTTCATCCAAGAAACATGTATCTTTAAGCACATTGTTTTTTGTAAACTAATAATAAAGGCCAAGACTCTCTTTCTGTAAATACTATTGTATCTTGAAAAGATGAAAAAGTTGAAACTGTATTATTATTATTATTATCATTATGATATTTTTATTGATAAGTGTTGAAAAATATAGCTCATTTTGTTGCAGATAGGTGTTTATCCAAGATTGTGAAAAGAAATCTTAAATTCTTATTTACATCAACCAATAATGTAACTTATTAGTTTTAAAGAGGTTTGCCTGTATCAATATATTTAGGAGCTAGGACTTCCCAGGTTTGGAGATGGGCATGTCCTCAAGATATTCTAAATTTACAATGTTTTACAGTAAGCAGAGTAACAGTGCTATCATACAGTACATATTGGTAGATTTGTAAATGTTGAAGATGGCAAGTGGTTATCCAGAGACAGTAATATGCTGATAGTAAATTACTATACACCCAACTAAAAAAAGGCCAGGGACAAAAATACTGATATATCGGGAAATGGTGGAGAACTTTGTGTGAATGTTATGAGTGTATTTTGGCATCTCTACTGAATGGAGGAAACAAAGATAATCACATAGAGAACTGGTTTTCAATCAGATAAAGAAAAAACAGAAATACTATATTGTTGTTTGGTAAATAATGAAGAACATTTTGGTGTGTTTAAAAGATTACAGAAGTAACTAATGTGTGTTGTAGATCTTTATTATTATTCATTCAGTGAAGGAGGAAGCACATTGACTAGAGTGGTCATGTATATTGTTGTATTAGCCACGAATGCTGACTGTGAAACACATCTACTTAAATCTGTTTCCTTGAAATAAAGGATAGCTACAGATGTGGTAGAGGGACCATTAACATATTAAGAGTATCTGTAAGTAAATGCATTTATATAAAGCCCTGAAACAGTTGGAAACAGTAAACTGTATCCATGAGATAAGTGAAATGTCATATGATTTCTGTTAAATTTACAGAGCCTCAGTTTATTCTTAAGATATAATATATATATATATATATATACACCTATTATTCTTGAAATAGTCCATATTGAGGCTTCTTGTAGATTTTCCAGAAGACTATAACTAAATTGACTATTTTCTCTAGTGATTGCTGATAAAGTAAAGTTTTCATTATGTATTTGACCACATTGATGAAAAAATACTTTAATTTCTTAGATGAAAATACAGTTGGACAGTATAACACTGAAAATTTCAGTGATAACTGGGTTTCTTCCAGAATAAACAAAAAAATATATGTCTTTATGATTAAAGTAAAACTATGGACCAGTCCTTATAACTGGAGTAAAATTTAGAACCTGTTTTTGTAACTAGGGTAAACTAAATCCCTGCCTTCAGTACTAAGTTAAAACTAAGAACCTCTCTTCATTACAAGGTAAAAATTAAGAATCTGTCTTTGTAACTAGGCTATTACCAAGAACCTGTACTAAATACTAAATGAAAGTTATAAACCTGTTTTTGTGACTATAGTAAAGCTAAGAACTTGTCTTTATTGTAAAAACTAAGAACCTGAGTTTATAACTGGTAAAAATGAGGACCTCTTTTTATAACTATGGTAAATTTAACAATCTGATTTAGTGTGTAGGGTAAAACTGAGAACCTATATTTATATCTATGGTAGTATTAATAACATGTCTTCATAACCAAAGTAAAATTAAGAATATTAATAACTGCAGAAAACTAAGAATTTGCCTTTGTAACTATGGTAAAATTAAAAAACTTGGTGACTGTAGTGTAACTGAGAACTTGATTGTAACTAGGGTAAAACTTTGAATTTTGTGTTTAAATATGCTGTTGATTTAATTGTCTGTTTTTACTTATTTTAAATTCTTTAAGACACCTTTTTAAACTGTGTGGAAATTTATGTAGGATAAAATTCCTACAGATCTTTATCTTGTTACAAAATTTAATTGAATGATTAATAATGGCTGGAGAATGATTAGTTCAAGTCTCACAGTGACTATGAGATGGCCAAATTAAGTTAGTATTTATTGTATGTATTACAGAATTTAAATCCCTGCTTTGAAGAAAAAAATTTTTTTTTTTGGAACAAAGAAATCAACAATTTCTTCTGACTTTATTATTAAAACCTGCTTTGTTTCTAGCTACTGAGTGTAATTTATTTAATTTCATCTATAAGGCCTTTCTCTATAACTTGAACAACAAATTAAATGCTGAACTTAGCTTAAAAGTAAGTTAGATCTCTCTTGAATAGAAACATTTTTCTTCATTGGCCGTAGTTAGGATTTTAAAGTATTTTTTAATAGATGGTTGTGTCACATTCACCTAAGGCATGCTTCAGTACATTTGATCCATTAGATGTACTTCCAAGCAAGTTTTCAGTTATCTTGTAGTGTAACTGGTGTAGCCTTATGTGCATCAAGGATAAGTAGATTGACAAACCATGTGACTTAGACAAGTGTGGTAGTTGCCCATTCCTGTTACCATAAGATCCTACTTAAAGCCAATAATGTACACCTTCCTAATAAAAGAGAGCTTACAGATAATATAAATAGTACCTGTTGTTTTCTAGCCAGCCTAATGAGCCCTAATATTGGGTGACAGGCTCATCAGCACTAGATATAGCAAATATAAAGTGGTTGACATATTTTTTACTTTCACTCATAAGTTCTTAGAATTCATAAGCTGAGGCTGCAATGTAATAAAATAAGTTCAACATATAATTTGTTGTTCTAGAATGAGTAGCATTTGTCCAGTAGTGTTTTAACTACAAGGTTGCTAATGTACACAAGCATTATATGTATATGATTAACCCTTTTATCATACATGGAAGGGGTTTTCTTCCATTACCGTAATTGGTGTAAATGTACAGGTGGAGATGGTAAAGGGTTAAATTTACATCATTATGGCATAAAGCATAAGTGATCTGTAACAACTTATAGAAACTAGTGATTGGACAATATAGAAAGAATGATAGAAGTTAGCATTCCTGTTATTTATACAGTAAACTTGTGGGTGTATCATACTTGACTTTTGTATTATGTTTTTTTATGTTATGAATTATTATGCAGATTTAGGTAAGAGTGGTAATAATATGCAAAAATGTCAGGATTAGAATATAAAATAAAGATAAAGCTACTGACCAGTTGTCACAAGACATAACCAGTCACTGTTATTATTTCTGGTGTCAGTAATATACTAAATATTGCAGTTTCTAAACAACAATTGATTCAGACACATTGTCCTACCCAAACTCCTGGATCCAGATACATTTCTATACTCAACAACCATAGATTCAGACACGTTTTCCTACTTAACAACCCTTGATTCAGGCACATTGTCTTACTCAGCAACCACTGATTCAGAAACGTCCTACTCAACAACCCCTGATTCAGAAACATGATCCTATTGAACAATCATTTATTCAGACATTGCCCTACTTACAAATATCTGATTCTAACATGTGCTACATACTACACGTGTGTTACTGATTCTAGCCATGAAGGTGATTAAAAAGCATTACATTCATCTGTGAATAACTTAGTCCTCAATCACAATATCTAAGTCATGTAACATAGCATTGATTCAAATACATTGTCTCTACCCATACATCACTGATTTAGATTGTTACTACCTATCAATGATTGATTCAGAAATGTCTGGATCATTGATTTAGACTCATGGTCTTTTAACAGTGAAATATTCCAATCCATGGATGACTAACAAAAAATCTTGATTTGTTCAAGGACTGATTGATTTAAGACTTATGACTCTCTAACAGTGACACATATTCCAACCCACAGACCACTAAATTCTGTTTACTCTTTGAGTGACTACCGATTTGAACTTATGACTCTCTAACTTTAACTCGTATTCCAACCCACAAATGTGGTCACAAATGTTAAATTTGTTTGTTTACTCATGGAGTGACTGATTTACACTTGCAACTCCTTAATGCACTTTCCCATCCAAAGAATTATCACACAAAAATTCTTTATTTACTTATGAATTCACCAATATAGAAGCATTATTCGTTTCAGTTTAAATTCGTGGTTTTTACTGTGATAAGGTTATGTTTTGGTTATTAAACCATATCTTTGTGATTACAGTAAACCAAACTATCCAATTGTTTTTTGTGCCTCATTCAACAGTTTTTGCAATAGTATGTCCAATACAACAAAAATACATATTTGATTAATAAGTAACTTTCGATTACTAGTAACAGAAACTACCATCAGTGGTTATTACCAGAAGTTACCATTAACTCTTAGTCTAGAAGCTACCATCAACTATTATTACCAGAAGTGACCATCAATTGTTACTCCCAAAGGCAACCATCAACTGTGTTAATACCAAAAGCTACCATCAGCTATTATTACCAGAAGTGACCATCAATTGTTACTCCCAAAGGCAACCATCAACTGTGTTAATACCAAAGGCTACCATCAATTGCAGGTTCCAGAAACTATCATCAGCTGTTAACACCAGAACCTATCATCAGCTTCTATTATTAGAAACTTCTATCATGTCCTAGTACCTGAAGCTGCATCATGTTTTAGTACAAGAAACTAAGTAAAAAATACAAGTCATGATTTTAAAATTCAAATATAAAGTTGTTGAAACTGAGTAACCATAATTGACGTTTAGCCTGTGAAAAAGAAGTCTGTAGCTTTATTTTATCTATGAACTTAGTAATGAACCTTGAGTGAAAGAACATAATTTCTCTAAGGAGATTGTTCCATCATCACAGTGTTTTCTTGAAGCATTAAAAGTATAATAACATGGGAAGTAAAACCTATATTGACTTCAATTATAATTTGAAAGTGTTCATTTTAGTTATTTTACATTTGAAAATTAATTACATATTCCACATGACTGATTCACTTTGGAAATAGGGTACTTGTATAAGGTTTTCCTTTAATTCTGATAATTCCATTGTGTTATATGGTTGCATTGAACTAATGCAACTAGTCATGATTTAGCTGTGATAGTGTTGGTGTATTCCAGTGAAGCTTTTCTCTAAACAGTGTGCACCATTGTATGTATAGGTAATGTTATGCTAACCATTTATCTGTAAATCAGTAAACTGTAAAAGTGGAAGCTGTTATAAATCCTAAGATTTCTTCTGCAGTACTGTGTAGATGTAGCTTTTGTTTTAGTCTGCTATTAGTGTTATGAAAAATTGTACTTGAACTATGTATATGACCTTTACAGCATCGATAAAATATGTAAAGGCTTAATTTGTGAAAAGTAAGTATTATAAAAGATTTTGTTCTATACTGAAGATTTTTATGTTTAAGTACATCAGAGGGAACAATTCTAGAAACTGTTTTTGCTTTGAAGTTTCTGTTTTGCAGAGTATTGAAACAAATTTTCTTAACTATTAAGAAATGTATTTTTTTTTATTTTTAAATAGATCACTTGTCCAGTTTGTGTGTGTAACAAAATTATATTATGAATATTGTATATCTTCCACCACAAGGAAATGAGTTTTATATTTTGAATCGTGGCTTTTTTTATTGTGATATTAAATAAGTTCATGTTTTATATGTGAGTATATATATCTCCCATCAGAGTAAGCTATAAAAATGACTATTAATTGAGATAATTTTTACCTACAAATATTAAAAATTTAACTTGCATTAACCCACATTTATATATATATAATACATATTGTCAACCAGATGGAGCCATAAAAGGAACGTTAGTGTTATTTTCAACAAAATGTTTTGCTAAGATTACTGAATAAATTCATGTGCATATACTGTACATTCAAAAATATAGTTAACTCTCACCATAGGGAGCTTTTATAATATTTATTTTGAATAAGTGTTTTTCTTAGAATAATGAACAGTTCATGTGTAGATCTGTCTGTTTAGTGTGTTTATCTTCCTTTATGGTCACTGGATGTAAGCATTTGACAAATTAACCAAAGGGTATCAAAATCATTATTTAAAAACTGAACTTATATACATGAATTGGTTATGTTTCACTCTGTCATTCTTAATTTTATACTTAACCTTTAATAATATTGCAAAAAAATTATTACACCTAATAGGGATTCCATATGAAGAAGTTTAATGTTGACAAGACCTACAACCAACAGTTAAAACATGCATTTAGACAATCTGACAAAATTGTGTTCTCATTACTGTCGAAACTGCTGAGAAATACGGCTTATTTTCTCTTGGCTCGAATTGTTAAGCAGTGAATACACCTTGTAAGCACGAGTTTAATATGGATGTCAAGTGCTGCGTTATTAAATGTTTACAGTAGCCAGCAGATATCACATGGGTAGAAAAAGTCAATAAACAGCTGTAATGAAAATAAAGTTTATATTTCTTCATCTCATTAATGAGAAGATCGTTCTGTTTATTTTTGAGATTTCCATACAACTCTTAAGCCTATTTGAAATTATTACCTGCAGTTTTTTCCAGCAACCAGAAAATTTCTCTATTATAGAATTTCAAACCTGTAATAAACCACAATGACAGTACGTCTTTAAGGTTTATGATATAATATTTAACCAAGTAATAGAAAAGCCAATAACGTTATTTGAAAAACAAAGTAACTAGAACTTTCAAGGTTTATGAAGTATTTTGTATTGTTTTTTATGTGAAAGCTGCTAATGTAACTTCCAGATAGTTGTAGCAGTATTTATTGTACTATCGCAAATTGGTAATTGATCCAGTATTTCCTTGTGAAAGCATGATAAAAGTTTGTAAAGACACGATATAAAAAAAGGTGTTGCTAAAACTGTATGTGATATGTACGAAATATAGGTTTGCAGTGTCATTTGTCAAATATAAATTACACATCGTATCCTGCTTAAACATAATATTTCTATCTCACAACCATCCAACTAAACCGATACGTAAGTCTTTGTGAACGATCTAGAGAGGTTCATTAAATTGAATAAACTAGGAATGATTAGTGTATTTATTTTTATTTAAATAGTAATTAGTAGATGGCAGCACATGACATTGCGTTAAACTAGATCATAAGTACTGAATGTGTAACTACAGTTAATATTAAAATTTAGATTGCCCAAACACCTGAAGTATTTTTGGTTATTAATGGTGAGTTAATAAAACAATATTAAAGTTTGCAAAATTTCTATTTCCCGTGCAAAGTGTAATATAGTGAAATGTAATTAGATTGAATAAACAATTACCCAATCTAATGTTATTTAAAGCCATTTAAATTTTCTGTGGATTTGATTATTTTATAGGCTGTATATAACCTAGGAGTGTAAGCCGTCAGCATCTAGATCAAAAGTTACCTACTCGTACACACTAGGCAGATTCAAGTCATAAACACTTCTTTTATAAAACAAGTATCCTGTTTATTGCATTACGAAGGCTTGAAATATACTTTGAAGAACTATAATACAAATAATCAAGTTCGTCAGCATAGAATAATTTGAGAAAGTAATAATATAGTCAAAATGAAGATTATTTACCGTAAAAATATTTACAGTACAGTTTGTATTTAAGAATGAATTGTCATGCTTCTCTTTATATTCTGCTATAAATATTGCCTTCCGATAATAACCCCATGGTATCTAAACAGGGTATTGTCTAATGTGCATTTTCGACGTTTGGGTTTCTTGATTTTTAAATTCTTAAAAATGATGAAATGGCTGCTTTAACCTGTTAAAAAAAAAGATGAAATTACTGTCATCAAAAAATTAACTACGTTTTGTTAACCCGTCTATATTTCCATATCTTGATAGTCGTGTTTTAAATATATTTCTAAATACGTGTATGGTTAACTTTAACTAAAGAGAGTATTTTTTGTCAGGTTGCGGCGAGATTAAAACTGGGTAGAATGCATGAAACTTACTGAAGCCTAAAATTTGAGACACATCTAAAACCGTAAACAAATTATAAAAAAACACAATTTACATTATGCTAACGTATCTTTATTTTGAATTGCATAATTGATACTGGAAACAACAGTTAAAAGCTGAGACATGT